CCAAAATTGGAGAAGCTGCCGCGCAGGTTGCGCAACAGGGCGAAATGGGACCTATTTCGATAATTCGAACTATTCATATTTTATAATAAATTAAGTAGAACATGTTTGTAAAAAATCAAATTAATCGGATATCGTTTACACATTCATCCACTCATATTTTTATTCATTTTAATTGTTAGAATAATGTATAAAGAGGTAGAATAGATTGTATTTATTCATATGGTTAGGGGCTCCTTATATAGGAGACGATTTACAAATTGTAATGATGAAAATCTAAAGCACTAATATTGCACTATACATAAAGTCTAAACCACTAACATAAAGCTAACACACTAAGCTAACACACTAACAAAAGTCTAAACCACTAACATAAAGCTAAAGCACTAACATTACACTATACATAAAGTCTAAACCACTAACATAAAGCTAAAGCACTAACATTACACTATACATAAAGTCTAAACCACTAACATAAAGCTAAAGCACTAACATTACACTATACATAAAGTCTAAACCACTAACATAAAGCTAACACACTAACAGCCCCCCTCAAACTCAAGGAGGATAGGAACTAACCAACTTGAGTTTGGAGAGAGTAACAAAACAGAAAAATAAACGCGGACAAATAAAATTAAAAATGGGTATGAGACACTGTATGGTCGTGTCAGCCCGTTGTAGAAGACAGTTTATGGGGTATGTCGGACCGGTGTAAGAAGACAGTTTACCGGGTCATGTCGAACCGTTGTAGCAGACACTGTGTGGTCGTGTCAGACCGATGTAGAAGACAGTTACGGGGTCATGTCAGACCGGTGTAGAAGACAGTTTACGGGGTCATGTCGGACCGGTGTAGAAAATAGTTATACGGGGTCATGTCGGACCGTTTGTAGCAGACAGTTTACAGGGTCATGTCGGACCGTTGTAGCAGACAGTGTATGGGGTCATGTCGGACCGGTGTAGAAGACAGTTTACGGGGTCATGTCGGACCGTTGTAGCAGACACTGTGTGGTCGTGTCAGACCGTTGTACGCAGAC